CAAATTGCACTCACGATCGAATAAGTATGATGATAAAATACCTAGACTTTCGCATAACAACCTTACGGACTTTTCTTCCAATCTGACATCAAAATTTTGAAAAGCTTTCGTTAGAGTAACCTCGAAATAGATTCGATTTCATGACGAATGTTCAGCTTCAGTTGCTGCATGGTTGTTGAATGTTAGAGTATATTTTAACCCCTAAGGAAATCCCACGAAAAGAAGTTAGCTGGAGGGAAATCGGGGCTTCCTGATGGCCAGGAGATGACGTCACCCCTATGTGAAACATGTCTCGTACCAGATATTAAATTTTACTATTAATATCATTGATATTAACATGTTAAATCATTAATTTTCTAATATAATACCATTAAAATCTATCCAAATCACCTTTGCCCTAAGAAGATGAGATTGTCCTCCAGTAACACCTACCTGGCGTGATCACATTAAGAACAAAAGGGAACAAATGAACAGACAATGGGCCTTTTTAAGACGAGAGTGTATAGGCACTTTGTACCATCCTAGACTGCATCCTACCTGCTTTCTTATGCAAAGAAAAAACTTCGTGATATGCAATGGATACTGGGCAGAAGAAGCTTGGAGAACAAACTATATACAAATGCATCCTAAAACCCATGTAGACATAAATAGCATCGACTTAGCCTCGCAAATGTAGAAATATTTTAACGTTTTCAAAATAATGTATTAAAAATCTTGAGCTGTGCACCTTGGTTTACATACAAAGTCCACTAAAGTGATACCAAACGTCAAAGAGGTTGTAGAAAATTCATGCAAAGCTTACAAACAAAGACTAGTGAAATCTACTTGCTGCAGCCCTTCTCAATTCTGAGAACTCTACATTCAGGCTCAGGAGAAAGCGAATAGCATCAATCTGTAAACTTATTGTAAAAGAATCGAGGTGACAAATCATGGGATATGCAGACCTGAAACTGTCATTATTACAAATTCAATATAATCTGATAATGGGTGATAAAGAGAAAAAAACACTAATATCATTTATAAATTTTTCGATATATGCATATCCTTAAAGTCAAATTTGTGAGACCTCCTAACCCATTATCTGTATCCATCGTTTGTACCACATTTGAAGCAAATAAATGATGATTCAGACTTTGATTCAGCTAAATGCTCTCATTTGAAATGTGACACGAAGCCCCTTCTTGCTGAAACTAAGTGTTCCGGTTATAGCCTCGATTCTTGCAGTATACTGAAAAAATCTTGATACAATAAATAATAGAAATTAGTGTTTTTCTTTTTTCAAAGTGTTATTAAGAGTACCTACAGCGTTTTTTATGACGCTATATATTTGTGTACAATTTATCTAAGCAAGATGTTGTTTTTTTGCTATTTTACATAGCTTTTCTAATTACCGTTATATTAAGTATTAGCCTTATCTAATTACCGTGACCATAACATTTTTGGATCTCATTTACGCGAAAACCGCTTTGAATAATTTGACGCCTTTACGATTGTTAAATTCGTACTTTTCATGTGTTTTATATTTAAATGAGTTTCAGTCAATTAAGCCAAATTTCAAAAATGAAATGGTAATTAGGCTGAGAACGCCTAATCGTGAGAATGACCGACTTGCTCTACCACCAACCGATTAGAAAAAATAACGCTCATTCCAGCCAACTTTGTCAGCGTTTTATAACAATACATAAACGTAGATTAAAATCTCACTAGCACAACGGCTTATTGTTATGATGGAATGTCAAGCAAACAGAAAACGCAGTACCTACTTGTACTAAAATTCAAATCAAATCAAATCATTTATTTACATTTCCGTAAAAAAATGAGTGACCATACTTGTTAAATACAGTGCAGTGCAGCTTTGAAAATGGAGTTCGGTGCTAAGTTAAATAATAAATAATGAGTATCTATCAGCCCTAGTCCTGCAGCTGTCTGTGTCGGCAGCAGCGTCCAGGCGAGCTAAATTTAGCCCCGGGGTGCGTATCCCTCGTTTGTCGGAATCACGCCAGACGACGGGATGACAGAGGTGGGTAAACAAATGCTATTCCGATTCCTTCGTGTTTTTTATTTACTTTTACCTAGCTATCAATAATTGTCTATTACAGAATCTGTATAAGCGCACTAGACTCGTGGACAGTTTAATAGACACTTGAGATTTCTTCTTTAGACGAATTACTTACGAGAAAATAAGATGGTTTAACAAATGTCATGCATTTGTAGTTTTACCGTTATGCGGTTGTAGTTAATTCATTCATGTAATCGAAGCCGGTTTTTAACACAAAATAAACCACTATAAAACAAACAAAAATAAACAAAATGAAACGGAAACTAAAACCAAATTCGTGATGTGTGTTTGACGAATTAATGAATCCAATATGTTTACAAACACCGCGGTAATTGAATCCAGGCCCGCTGCGTTAGGCCTGATGTCCAATGAAGTGCAATAGCCATACTTATTTTGAAACAGTTGTCATACAATAAATACTTTAATGTCTTAGAGCTTAGATACACTGCCAGTTTGTACCTCAGTCATACTATAGTACAGCGGTTCCCGAATGGTGGTCCGCGGAACCCTGGGGTTCCGTGGAAAGGCCGCAAGGATTCCGTAAAAAATATTATCCCACGTTTCGTGACCGACGTTGTTCGCTCGCACCGACTTGTTTACGCACAAGGGAAGGGCAGGGCGTGCGGGCGGAGTAGTACGGGGGTTCCGCTAGGAAAAGTATAATCAATTAGGGTTCCTTGGCAAAACAAAATTGGGAAACCCTGCTATAGTATACGGATTATATCCGACTGAAGTCTTTTATTTTTTAGTGCAGAACTGTAACAGAAGTCAGTGAGCCGCGGCACAGAGAGTATAACAAGTGACATATTATTTCACACGCAAATTGCTTCGCATCGCTTTTCTTCCAGTGGTAATTTTATGACTGAGATATCAATATAAATGTATTATAAAATACACGTCTATGACGCTCTTACCCCTCTCCCATATCGCATGAAATAGCTTCACATTGCCTGACTCATAGTGGTGAGCCAGTGAGTTGACCGGGAAGCGAGGGCATCGAGTGATGACATCACGTTTCGGATGCGTATATCGCATGGAATAGCGTCACATAGACTAGCTTATCGTATAGAGCCAGCTTGAAGAGCCAGTGAGCTGACCGGGAAGCGAGGGTATCGAGTGACGTCATCACGTTTCGGATGCGTATATCGCATGACATAGCGTCACATAGCCTAGCTAACAGTATGAAGCCGACATGAGGAGCCAGTGAGCTGACCGGGAAGCGAGGGTATCGAGTGACGTCATCACGCTTCGGATGCGTATATCGTATGCCATAGCGTCACATAGCCTAGCTTACAGTGTGGAGCTAGCTTGAAGAGCCAGTGAGCTGACCGGGAAGCGAGGGTATCGAGTGACGGCATCCCGTTTCGGATGCGTATATCGCATGCCATAGCGTCACATAGCCTAGCTTACAGTATGAAGCCAGCTTGAGGAGCCAGTGAGCTGACCGGGAAGCGAGGGTATCGAGTGACGTCATCACGTTTGATGCGTATTATCGCATGACATAGCGTCACATAGCATAGCTTACAGTGTGGAGCTAGCTTGAAGAGCCAGTGAGCTGACCGGGAAGCGAAGGTATCGAGTGACAACATCACGTTTCGGCGCATTCTTCGCATCGATCTCTTCCAGGAATGCGCCGGACGACTTACGACTTTGCGGGCAAATAGGTAGTTATTCCAGTTGTGGACATTTGAATAAAATATAATTTTAGTTGGTTAAGTAATGATTATGTTTGAGAGATAAGCATTAATGCAAGTCTTAATAACTATCTGAATATAATTAAATCTACTTGAGCATGCCCAAGTTAAGTAATATTGCCTAGGTTCAATTAATGTCTAAGTTAACCCATGGCTTTGTGAAAAGTTTTATCTTCGTAAAACATTTTATTATCAGTGAGGAAAAACTATTTTACAGAAGCGTGTTAGCTCAGATCATCCCTTCTATGATCAGAGCGTGTTAGGTAACTTATTTCTTTAGTTTAGACTTTAGACAACCCATCAAAATAATTCTGAGGCTCGACCAAACTTTTTGTCTTGATTACATCATTACTAAAACAAAAACCGCGCTATCTTCCGTAATTTAAGTTAGGCAAGTAGATACTCAGGTAAATGGTAGGTAGGCACCTGGCTGCCAATCACGCGGGTCTGAATCACGCAACTTGGCGCGCACAATCAGCCGCTCCAAATATGGCCAAGTCCTCGCCAAGCGACCAGCTAGACTAAACGCTATAATCACTGTACTACGTGACTAATTTAAATAAGAACTGTTGCGAGATCTTGATTAGTTTTCTAGAATATGTAATTTATACCCCTTGGCAATAAACGTTGGCTCACAAATTGGTAGGAGGTAGGTAAGTACCTTAATAAAGGCTGTTCTCCCTTCCTGTAATCTGAATCGCTTGTCACAGAAGGAAACTCCATACATAAAGTACTAACTACCTAATCTTCCTTCCATGCAAACATTTCAAACTTACTTTTTTTCTTTAGATTTTCTTGTGAGTTAGGTAGGTAGGATATGAAAATAAAAAAAGCTCTAACCAGAGACCAGATCGTTACAATGAACTGCGTATCGTATTAAGTAGGTAGTGGTAGGTTAGGTAGGTACCTACTAGATATTTAGACTCTAAAGTTAAGTAGGTACCTAGGCCTTCTTGATTCGGAAATCCTGGAATATTGTTGGCATATTATTTATGTTATTTATGTGCTATTAGGCTAGGGGTTTAAAATTTCCTTACCTACCTACATAATTAGCGATTGATTGGCGGCCCCTTGTTGGCCTAATAATGCCATTTGATTATAGGACCACACAAAAGATAAAAACGTACAAACGTAGGTACTTTATAAAGTAAGTAGTATTGTCATTAAAAAGAAAGAAGGTAGGCAGGTAAAGGGGTAAACAACCATCATCAAATAGTACTCCAGATTTAGTAGGAATGAAAACTTACCAGGTTTATGATGCCGATGCTTCTTCTTCCCGGCGACGGCAGCCGCCACCATCAACAGCACCCACCACCTCATCCTGCCACCATCACACCGCACCACGCATCACAACAAACAACAAACCAACACAAAAGCCGCGATCGCACTAAAAACTTCTTGTAAAACACCAACACACGCCTGTCAAAATTTCAAATAACGAACACAATTCTAAATTCAAACACAAAAACAATTGAATGTCACACGCTACTTTTTATCAGTTAGGTACGCGAAAATTAGATCGACTCGAACTTTTGGAGGCAAACGACACGCAACCCCGACGACGGTCTAGCGGCAACTGCCGAAGTGCCGAACAACTAAACGAGCTTTGAGTCGACCGGCAGAGCTTGCAACAAAAAGCTTTAGAACAAAAAGCTGTAACTTAACCCGCAATCATCGCCGAGTCGCACTAAAGTAGATTTAATTGCATTGATAATTTTGTAATTACATTTGGATTTTGGATTGGAGGGTAACTGAAAATTATTTCTACAGTGTTTTGTTACATCAAAAAGTATTGCCGCTTCAAACCTCAAAAGGTTCGTAGCGGCGAAAGCTCGAAACAACTGCTGAAAACATCAAAGCTTTACTTGCGAGTACGTAGTTCTGCTGGCAACTAACAGATGGCGCTGTAACAAGTTTATTACAGAGCAGAGATATTTTTATTTTTGAAGTTTTTAAAAATTAAACACATCACCCGAACTTTTCATAAAAATGTTGCTATTGTATATTATTTTTCTGAAAATAAATTATTTTAATATTAAATTAATAAATCATTTAAAAAGGTATGTATAAAAACTTGGACCATTTTTTGGGCTATTAGTAGTTTATTTATAATAATACGGTTTCATAATAAGTATGAGTTTAGTCCCTGAAGTTTATAATTAGGTCATGTTGGTGACCTAATTTTAATAAAATTTATCATAAGCTAATTAAAACCTTCATACATGCAAAATGGCTTACCCACACCTGAAAATTGTAATAAATCTTCATGCATGTGGTACAGAATCCTCGGAAGTGGCTTAGCGAGTGTCCCTGCCGTGTACATTAATCAGTTCGGGCGGGACACATCAATCAATCCTGGAGACAACTGCTGGCGCAGGGAGGGAAAATAAACTTGCCTACGCCGCGTGTTGTACCCATCCATAGATAACTGTTGTTTAATATTGATGTAGTCAATAGGTTAACGCATTTTTAACCGACTTAGGTATATTGAAAAAAAAATTTTAGAATGGGCTACCATTTCGTTATAGCCTGACCAGGAACATAAAAACCCTGGCATAGAGGCGCTTCAATTACATTTGATAGTGCAACACTGAGTACAGTCGTACATGTGTTAAATTAATAGGCTAAATTTATGTATCAGGATTACGGGCTAATTTGATATTTTCATAAATGAACGAAAAATATTATTAAAGGTAACCTGGTTTAAATAAATTAAATGAAACCATCAATCGAGCTAGTAGGATTTATTTTATTATTCATCAATAATCAAATTCAGAACTTGAATATTCAACTGCAATGTCTCCTCATGAACGCTTCAAACTCGGTACTTCTTTCCCAATTCCATAAAATTCAAAACTTAGAAAGTAACAAAAAACTTTAAAATGGGTAGTTGAAACAGACTNCTTCGACAAATACATTAACACACCGTGAACCACTTTTCTTTCACGACTATAAAAATATTTTAGCAATTTATTTCACAAAATCAATTGCACACATTTAAAACAAAGTTTGTTTACACTTTGACAACAATAGACTGACATGCAAGGTGACATGTCAATGAAGTTTTCAGTTACTGTTGCCATTAAAAGAAATTAGTACCATTAGTTTTCCGCAACATGGCGAGGGTTTTTATGTTCCTGGTCAGGCTATATTTTCATTTATACTTTTTGAAGTTGCTTAAGTCGGCAACAGATGGCGCTGTAAGTCCGAATTTTACTATTATTTTGGAAAACAACATCTCCATGTTTTGCATAGAAATAGAATGCAACAAGTTGTAAATTCGTCATAAATCTTGTAAATTAAATGAAATAGTTACTTAGTACTTTTTGAAGTTGGTTAAGTCGGCAACAGATGGCGCTGTAAGTCCGAATTTTCTTACTATTATTTTGGAAAACAACATCTCCATGTTTTGCATAGAATGCAATAAGTTGTAAATTCGTCATAAATCTTGTAAATTAAATAAAAATAGTTACTTAATCTGAAACTATATTAGATGTTGTTAAGTGAGATGCAGTCTAGGATGGTACATATCTGCCCTGTAAGTGCCTATTCACTCTCGCCTTGAAAACGCCCGGATTATAGTGTTCAGGAAATACAGCAGCAGGCAGCGAATTCCAGTCCCTAGCTGTTCGCATTATAAAGGAGTCGTCGAAACGCTTAGTGCGAGCTGGTGGAATGTCGACAATGTAGGGATGGTACGCTAGTCTGCGTCTGGTTCCCCGGTGATGGAAAGGGGCTGGTGGAATTAAGTTGTATAATTCCTGTAGGTAGATACATAATTATTTTTCAGATAAGCAAACGGGAATGGTAGAGATAGGTAGTCTTCTTCTCAACTGAAATGTTTAAATGTAACACCGTTGTGCCTTTCGAAATTATAACTTTAGGACTTAGTGTTGTCTCACAAACAAGTAAATTACCAACTAAGTAACATTAATACTTACGAAGAACTTACCTACGAAACTGTGGACGTTTTACCGACCACCTCAGGCCGCCAACCGCATCCAACTGTGCCCTAAAGTAAGTAAGTGTTTTTGCTTATGAAAGCTCCTCAGTAGTGTCTAAGAAGATTAAATTTATTGTATACTTTATAATTATTATTCTCGTCTCGTTAGCAATTTTCACCATTTTCATGCTTTTGGTTATTTTTGCAAAGAAAATAAAGTGAAATAGCCTATGTAGGTCGTAGGTACAGAAGATATTTTTTTCTGTTAAATGAAATGCCTCAAAACCTCGCCTCTCAGGTTTTTATAATTTAACTGAGCACTTGGTGTGTAACCCGTGTCTTAATTACAAAACCCTTTGTTAACAAATTGTTAATTGAAAACATCGTAATACCGCGGCTGCTCTCCAATTGGGTCGAATTAAGTGACGAGTCCCATCCCGGCCCGGGATCCAACACTGCGCTGTAGGTAAGTATGTCAGGTGTATGACCCAGGTAAGCCTCAATGAAAACATATATTTTTTTATGTTGGACAAGGCAGGTATTTGACCACAATCGCACCTGATGTTAAGTGAGATGCAGTCTAGGATGGTACATATCTGCCCCGTAAGTGCCTATTCACTCTCGCCTTGAAAACGCCCGGATTATAGTGTTCAGTACCTCTAGTAGGAAAAACTTTCGAGTTCGTTTCGTTGCGTATTCAAAGTGTCATCGAAAAATTTTGTATGAAAAATTAAACAGCGCCCCCTATATTATAGCCGCCCTAGGGGGCGCTGTTTAATTTTTCATACAAAATTTTTCGATGACACTTTGAATACGCAACGAAACGAACTCGAAAGTTTTTCCTACTAGAGGTACAGGAAATACAGCAGCAGGCAGCGAATTCCAGTCCCTAGCTGTTCGCATTATAAACGAGTCGTCGAAACGCTTAGTGCGAGCTGGTGGAATGTCGACAATGTAGGCATATGGCTCTGCTTAGTAACTTTTTCAGCCACCAGGGGTTAGGCACTAATTCTGTTTTATTATTTTGAACCATTAAAAGCAATCTGTGAATTCCTTTTTGAAGCAAAGCTGCATCCGAGATACTAATAAAAAGACTGATCTGACCATGAAGATTTCGGTATGTGATATTTTAAATCACAACTAGTCATAATCCGGCACTGTTGAGAGGCAAAGTTACCTCTTCATTTGTAGATGCTAGGTACCTTTAAATATGTACGTCCCAAATTGAACTTAACATTCTCATGTAAACTGCCTCATTCCTCTAGGAACTCTATAGAAATGTTTTTCATACCTACCGACTCACAATCCCGAAATAGGCAATTTTCTATGAATAAGCTTAGTCATTGATCTCCTCTATAGGTCTTTATGCAGGGTTTCTATGGCGTGGTCCTTTTTATAAAAATGTTTTAATGGATTTTGGAGGTACTTACTAGTTTTCGGCTCGCAGAAATAGTTTCTGTCGTACCTACAAACAAAGGCAAGGGGAATGTGAGGTATGTGCGCGAGTATTAAAAATGTTGGGGTTGTTGAATGTGTAGTGAAAATCTTTATTTTCAAATTGGTGGTACCTACTATTTTATTAAGGAATATATTTTTGTGTTGTGAGGTAACGACAGACCACTTTTTTTGTAAACTGGGTCTCCCAGCCCAGCAGACCCTAGGCAACTTAAAGGTAGTTTGGTAATTGGTTTGATCAGGAATCGAACCTAATTCAGCTATAATTATGCAGTTTAGCTAATAGCCAATTCACTTACAAGTCACTTAGCTTTTAGTAGACAAAGAAAAAAGGGATATTTAAAGTGATCCAAAGTTAGAGTCAATGCATACCCAGAGCAACAGCGCCGTGTATCCATCGCCTACAACTTCGGTCCAATCATCGTGGAGTCGGGAATAAAACCGAATAATACAAACAATAAGCCAAAAATGTTTAATGTCATACTTTAAATTTACATTGCGTTTATCGTTAACACCAAAAACTGGACACCCACGAGCGTGCGGCGCGCGCGCCTCCACTAGACGAGTAAAAATTCCCTAAAAAAACCTTCGCTAAATCAGGTAGTACATACATGATAACCGGATAGAACCGCCCGCCGGCGGCGTGGGGGCCGGTACGGCGCCCCCGCCCTGCGGGCCCGACCGGGCCGCCTGCAACAAGCGGGCCATGTCAGCACATACACAACTAAAGCCTGGTCCGTGAGCACGTAGAATCCCGTCCAATGACCCCAAGCTGCTGTGCGACGCGCGCCCGCAGTGAGTGTGCGAGCGCGACAGCAATATAATTACGCGCGAGCGATAAGGATGGGTAGCTTGGGCTCATTGGACGGGATTCTACGTGCTCACGGACCAGGCTCTAGACACTATTACTAGACAGGATGTCTGGAACTTAGGCATTGACATAGGTTACAAATCTCTTCTTCTTGTCGTGTCGACAACAAACCTACACGGTGTCAGCCCAAAACTCAAGCCCAAGGTAACAAATATGATATGAACATTGACTGCCTGAAGTGGAACTTGAACCTACCAATTGTTAAATATAAGCGAGCGAGAGTAGCTGCATTGCTAGCCTCCTCAGCAATTTGACATCATATAATTTAAATATGTTAATGGAATACCCTCATCAGCAGGTCATGTGGTTTCCACTGCAGGAGTACGATACTCTATAATGTGCGAAAAGCAAACGGAATTCCTCATGCTGTCCAGACGGGTTGGAGAGGTCTGACTGATGTTCGCAAAAGTATTTGTCCTTTAGTCTCCATCCACGAGAAGAGTGGGCGTGGTAATATTTTACTCTGCCGAAACAATACTACCTACTCCTAATTGTGATTTTTCCGACCGTGAAACGTAATGTGGGCAGGCCTCCTACTCGGTGGACCGACACGATCTAGTGAATGTCGTGGAAAGCATCTAGAAGTGGGCAGCGCAATAATGCCCGCTGTGAAAATCATTGAGGAGGCCAGCAGTGGACATCTTTTTGCTGAATCAAAATGAAGAGCATGCGTGGATGAAGTATAAATTAGAATAGAGAGGGCCGTGTTCCTGCAGTAAAGACCAGACAGTCTGACGATGATGATGACGTCACTCACCTAGACGAACCATTCGTCCTTATGCGGGGCCGCGGCGCTCAGCGCAGCGCCCGCGCCCGCAGGCGGCCCGGGCGCGCCGCACTGTACCCGCGCGGGCCCGCAGGGAGCGCCCAGTTTCCCGGCAGCCGAGTGTCGCCCGCCGGGGCTAGCGGCTTGCCGGCGCCGGCGCCGTTGCTGCTCGCCATTTGTTGCACTGGAATCGCAACGCCACGCCGGGTTAAAGATAAAGTTAAAGATAAAATAACATTGTGTCTCTACTCGATAAATGAAGAACATGGGCCAAAAAAGGGACAACCGTTCTTTAACTTCAGATTATCCAAATCCGACAAGTTAGAGTAGGCGCACACCGTTGATTTTTCGTCGGCCGATAGTTTAGTCGGGCAGTTGATCAGTATGGGCATGTATGGGAGTACGCACTCTACGCCGATAAAGTCTGGAGATATAAATAATCGTCAATCTGAAGAGGCATATGGCTGATCATCGTCGACGAAATCAGCGTGGCACTACATGAAACGTCCTCCAGCAAGATGAAGTGATATCAATCTTAGTAACTTATGGAAAAGAACACCGATGATCACTAGAGCTTGCATCCGGATATTCCAATATCCAACAGATTGAAACGGTATTCCGCGACTGGGACATTATTAATGATTTCAAAGAAGAATCGACAGGCTGCAAAGAAAAACCCAAAGAACAGTTTGAACTCACATTGTAAGTGTGTCCGCTGCGCGATAGTGCGGCGGCGGCAGTAGCAGCACAGCACGGCGCCCGCGCCGCCCAGCGCCAGCGCCGCGCCGCCCGCGCCCAGCGCCAGCCACGCGTTGCCGACGCCGGCGCCGCCGCTCTCTGCGCAACATAGGCCACGTCACCGCAGGACAACAGCGTCACAAAAGGGTACACGTCACAATCAGAGCACCAGTCATAGTCAGCCACATAGACACGGATATTTTGGGTCATCCACTTACCTTTTTGTGTAAGATCAAAGTGGATATCTGACCTTTACAATCAGGACTTACTCTACACCATGACAGATGGATAGGGTCTATCGCCCGTATTCACAAACATTACTATGAGGTCTCACAGTGCACGTGGACGCACAGGGTGACACACGAACCAATCACAGAGCTCTATTCAACGCTGTGCGTTTGATTTGCTGCTTTACTTGAGCAGGCATCGTTTGTGAATACGGGCGTATGTTCCCAGCACTGTTCAAATACTTACCTATCAGTGAGTTGGGGAACAGTTCGGAATATACAATGTCAACGTGAAATTGTGAACTCTGTCAGTTTATAATATAACGCGTTAGATTGTAAACTAACAGTGGGTTAGGTTAGGTTAGATTGTAATTTAACTACGTCAGATTATAATCTGACGGAATTAACAATTTTACGGTGACATATACATAGAGGACTATAACCAAGAACACAAGAACATAAAGTGTAGGAAATGTATGATCAGAAGGACTTAAGAGCAGGATAAAGATACAGGTGCTAAGTGGTCTTACACAGAGGTGCATCTAAACATTGATTGATGGTGCAGTTGGTGGATGTATACTAATGGTTAGGTGAACTCCTGATCAGCGATCGGGATGTGCTGCTTAACCGAATGATGGTGAATGGTGCGTCTACTCCTCGCCGATGGATGGTGGTGGCGCCGCGCTAGACGGCGTCTTACCGGGGCAGGCGGCGGCGTCCTCATCGGAGCCGTCGGCGCAGTGGTCCACGCCGTCGCACATGAGGTCAGCGCTCACGCAGAACTCCCGCTGCTTGCATCTGAACTCCTTGCACCCGTGCTCTGTGGCAAGCAGAACTAACATAAGTTCAAAATCAAAGAACGGACAAATATGGCAAGAATGTGTTTAATAACTATTTTTTGTTCGTTCGTTCGTTCGTTCGTTTCACAATGCACTTTTTTGTNCGCGCCGCACTGTACCCGCGCGGGCCCGCAGGGAGCGCCCAGTTTCCCGGCAGCCGAGTGTCGCCCGCCGGGGCTAGCGGCTTGCCGGCGCCGGCGCCGTTGCTGCTCGCCATTTGTTGCACTGGAATCACAATACCACGCCAAGTTAGAGATAGGCAGAAGGAAGATCACTGTCTCTCTCCGTGATGATACAAATGAAAGGCAAAATATGAAAAGGACAACGAAAATGCAAAGTTTTATCAGGATTTAGAGTACAGCTTGCCAATTACCCAAAAAGAGAAGTAGACAAGTTATACTAAGAGACAAAACTATTCAGACTGAAGGGGCATTTGGCTGATCATTGTTCATGAAGTCACAAGACCGTAGCGTGATCACAGCACGGGGCGTCCTCTAGCAAAACAAAGTGATGCCAATCTCAGTAGCTTATGAAAAAAAATACCCGATGATTATACTCAGTGGCTTGCATCCAGAGATCCAACAGATTGAAACGCTATTCCGACTAACGCGCTATTAACTATGCTATTAATCAGAATAGGATTCCAGTACAATATATGGTTGGTTATTGGCAAGTAACCCCCCATAATGTCAAACAAGAAATTCATAGCCTGAAAAGAAAGAAGAAAAGTGTGTGTAACTGTGTACTCACATTGTAAGTGTGTCCGCTGCGCAATGGTGCGGCGGCGGCAGTAGCAGCAAAGCACGGCGCCCGCGCCGCCCAGCGCCAGCGCCGCGCCGCCCGCGCCCAGCGCCAGCCACGCGTTGCCGACGCCGGCGCCGCCGCTCTCTGCACCACATAGGCCACGTCACAGCGGGACAACAGCGTCACAACCAAGGTAGGGGTCACCGAGGTGAGTTTTAACAGAGGAGTCACACACTGTCGATTTTTGGAAACCTATTAAGTATCAGCTCACAACAGCGCGCCTTTGGTAGCGACTTGAACTAAAAACGCGCACTGTTACGAGATCGGTAGTAAATAATAAGTTCCAAAAAAATCGACAATATCACAACTGACCTCGGTCTCCCCTACACGTCACAATCAGAACACCAGCATCATGACCAGTGTCTATACGAGTATTCCTTGCACCACCGTTACATAGACATGGATGGTATTTTGATTTGCATCCACTTACCTTTTTTCTGGAAGAACAATGTATAATGTATAGGGTTTGTTCCCAGCATTGTTCAACTACTTACCTTTTAAACCAGTGGTCAGTGATTTGGGGAACAGTTGGGAATATTATTACCGAGGACTATAACCAAGAACATAACATACATAGGTTTTGGGAATGTGTGATCAGAAAAACTAAAGAGCAGGGTAGAGATACAGGTGCTTGTGGACACAAAGGTGCATCTAAACATTGATTGATGGTGCAGTTGCTGGATGTATACTAATGGTTAGGTGAACTCCTGATCAGCGATCGGGATGTGCTGCTTAACCGAATGATGGTGAATGGTGCGTCTACTCCTCGCCGATGGATGGTGGTGGCGCCGCGCTAGACGGCGTCTTACCGGGGCAGGCGGCGGCGTCCTCATCGGAGCCGTCGGCGCAGTGGTCCACGCCGTCGCACATGAGGTCAGCGCTCACGCAGAACTCCCGCTGCTTGCATCTGAACTCCTTGCACCCGTGCTCTGTGGCAAGCAGAACTAACATAAGTTCAAAATCAAAGAACGGACAAATATGGCAAGAATGTGTTTAATAACTATTTTTTGTTCATTTACACAAGATGCTAGCCATTCTACAGGTAGTATTGATAAATGAGTACGAGTATAACGCGGATTTGAATTGTAATCTTCAATTCATTTAAATTCTAGCTACCTTTGAAACAACAAACAGGTAAAATGTTAAGTGTTATCATATCGCCATATTTTTTCAGCCACATGATGTCCACTGCTAAACATAGGCCTCCCCCAATAATAATGATGTCGTGACAGTTCAAAATTTTCAGAATGAAGTACTAAAATCAATCGAAAAACCCCTTGAAAGCCTTGTTCAAACACGTCAGCTGCAAAACCTTGCCTGAAAAATTGACAATAAAACCGCTGACGCACCGTAGAAAAAATCAATCCACGTCAAACGACGCAAACAATGGTGCCCTAACGAGCTCCCGAAACAGATTTGATTCGCCAACCAATGTTCCCGTCAGCACTCCGAAATTGCCCGATGAAAAATTATAAGCGTTTTATAATTTCTAACATTTGACTCTTGAGAGGATCAGCCACGTTTGATCGCCGCTGTCTTGTGGGCTTTGTCCGCAGTTGATTGGAGCACAAAAAGTTCAATTTAGGGTCCTCTTTTTTACCATTTTATCTCAAGTGTACAGAATCAGATATTTTATATGAAACTGGAGCTAGCGCGGTATTCACGGCATTCACGGTATATTACGAGGTGTTTTGTAACTGTAACTCTAAATGGTGACATTTCAATTGACTCACAAAAAATATTTCAGGCCACTCCGGACATCATAATATTCCGGTGAAGTTACTAATAACTTGAAGTTACTATTACTATACCTTAAAGCAGTCTTTCCCAAAGTGGGCGATAACGCCCCCTTGTGGGCGCTGCAGGCTTAAAGGGGGGCGGTAAGAGACCCAGAAAAAAAATCGGGACGTTGTGTAGAGGCTTGGGAGGCGTCATTTACTAGGAGGACTCTTAGACACCGACTGAGCACTCGACACTCGAGTACAAATGGGGGCGCTAAAAAGAATTTATTCTCAAAGTGGGCAGTAGACAAAATAAGTTTGGGAACCTCTGCCTTAAAGGGAAGTACAATTCCCTAAAATTTTGTCATCATAGTGCTGAATATCATTCCCCTTGTGCGAAACAGATATAATCGTGGCTCACTAGACCATTTCTCGCAGACTACTCGACGACTAGCAACTCTGTTATTCCAAATTGGCTTCACGAGAACAAAAATGTGCTGTAGGGCGCCGCCCTGGGCGTAATTCAAGGGCGCATTGTTCCCGGTGACTGATGGAGGGTGCTCCGCTGGGTTTAACTCGGCTCATATTTCAACCTGGCGCAATTTAAATCCAGACGAACCGTGCTACATGTCTCTGCTAATAATTACCTTTGCAATTAAGATCTTTTATATTGAGTTATTTGTTTCTTTTACTGAGATTGTCAAGATGTAAAATCAGCGTCAAAATAGTTCGTGACATCCAAACTGATCAAAAAAGTTGACAACACAACCTTATTTCAATGAGGGCTATCGTTTTCAACCGACTTCAAAAAAGGAGGAGGTTCTCAATTCGACCCGTATGTTTTTTTTTTTATACTTAACAGTAGGCACCCCTGGCGATTGACAGGACCTTACTCTACAGTGGCGCCATGTTGATGAGTGCAAATGCGATAGTCCTCCTACCACTTTAGCGCTCACAAGTTGGCGCCACTGTCTTCGCTACTAGCAAGTGACAGGACCTTACTCTACAGTGGCGCTATCTGGTGAGCGCTAAAACGATAGCCCTCATTGTAACAAAGACGTGTTGCGAACTTTTTGGCTACTTTAGGTGTCACGAACTAGTAGGTATTTGAAGCGGACTGACTCGTAGTAACTTAAATATTTTACGACTTTAGATACATAATTTCTTTTAAATTCCTCTGGCTACATCTCTCTACACGAAACAATGTCCACAAGCAAAAGTTTTCATGCGCAAACAGCTAAGTGTTGGACTAGCAACAATCCCGAAGTTACAATCTCAAGAAGTATGCAAGGGGCCAGCGGGGCTTGTGGCAACTATGCCCCGCCGGGGAAGCTGCCCAAACTTCCGTCACGGTTCATTATCGAGGGGTGTGACAACACCACTTCCCTTTCTAGAACAATCATTAGCAAACTTAAAAGCATTTGTACACTAACTTGGCCTTATAAAAATTAGTAAAATTCATAACTTGATTAATTTTCCATTTTCATGCTACTGCATCCCATGTTCATGATAGCATTGTAATAAATATACTTATTGATAGAATATCATATCTAGTAGCTTTTAGTATGAGACAGCTTGAATTCTAATACTAAAATCAAATTCTTATCAACAGTAGCAATCACACCCAAGAATTTCTATTCACGTTCTAAATCTACATGTTGTGAACTCAAATACTAACACGTGTTCAATATAAAAACTTATGGGTACTCATGTTTTTTTTTTTTCAAAGTTTGATGATGGTTTGAAATCTGTTTATTTATATTATGTCCAATAAGTCCTTCATTCTCTCTGCTCTCATCACCACGAAAAATAACGCCGTTTCGAGGCCCGAGTTTGATGTCTCATATAAAATTATTACGATCCCCTCGATCTAATGACGCTTTTTATTTCCCCGATAAATGCCAATAAAGTCGTATTACTTTTAATAGCACGTCAGGAATGTCTTTCAGGCCTTTGAGAAGTCCAATAATACTGTTTTCTGTTTCTTTGACGAGACGTATCCGGGATCGCCCTGGGAAATCTAATACCATTACAGCAATCGGATGACAAATAATTCCATGTTCCTTGATTTTCCAATTTGAATGAGCTTGATTGGTCTCAAAGGTCCTTAAGCCATGACTAATCAATAAAAAGAATACGAGAAATAAACCTATACTACTTATTCAGCATAAACACAGTATTGTTTTAAAAGCTTATACGATTTTTTCTCTTTCTTGGAATTGTGCGAAGCGTTAAAAATAAAATTGAGAATAGCATCGGTTTTCATGCAAATGTAATTTACGCAAATAAGGCTGAAGGGTCAAAATTAGAGTGAAATTCGTAAAAACAACAATTAACTTGAGTTCGCCTGCCCTAAGTGTAATTACGGGTCTTTTTTGCTTGTGTTTGCTTTAATTTGAATTCAACACATCAGTTGCACGGCGCTATTTGTTTANCGAGTATTTGTTTAGGTCGCGCTCTGATCTTCAGTTGGTATTCATTTTGAACATCAAAGTCGTTATACTAAACCAGCCAGTTATAGGTATAAAATTAATTAGATTTTCAACCATGTGTTGACAAGCAAGTTCAGAGAAGAATAAAGTACCTATTTATTTATTTTATGGCTATGATCGAATTTATCACTCATATAATACAGGAGAAACAGTCAGAAAGGCTTGGCATTTTACAATTTGTCCCAATCGCTGACATACAAACACCTCGTAATCAAAATTGTAAAAACGAAAGTCAAAATAAAGGCGTATGTTACACATGAACATAATAACACATAGAACAAGTACCCTAGCTCCTTTGCGCTGCCAAAACAAACTTTGCGAATATGATCCATCCCCCGGGATCCCTTTAAGACAGGCCTGTTCCCAGATCTCTTTGCGAGTGTATTTTTCCAGGCGGCCGAGCAGAAAACTTAATTGCTGCTACAGCTCAGAAGATATGCGCACGCACCGCAAAGGATACGTTTGAGCGTACACAATTTAATTGAAGCGCCTGTTTCTTTGTTTGCTATCAAAACCATTGTGTTTAGATGTAGCTACATACTTCGTGTATATTAGTTTGTCCTTTGTTTTGTTTAAGCCTCAATTGTTTTGAAATGTAACATATTAGGTGGGAGTAACACGAGTATGTTCCTTGTTGAAAGTTCATTTCCATTTTGATGAACTGTTTTTTCCTATCCTATCGCGTGGGTTACGATTATAAAGAAAGAAATAAAGAAAATAACTTTATTTTGGCAACAACAGATTCAGGCAACAAAGACACACAAAAAAAAACTAAGTTGCCAAAAAAGGTCACCCACTCAGTAATATCTTGACAGTGTGACTGCCAAGACACTGATTTTCAGTGGGTGCCAATGCCAATATAACAATGTTATCTAACTTTAAGAGCCACCATAAGCGTCAAAATGGCTCATCCAGGCCGATCGATCGAGGCTTAACGTGCCTTAAGATGGTCATTCATTTTGGACAAATAGAGTCTTCAATGGAATTTTTGTAGTTATATCAGACCATCAAGCAAGAATTCACGTTAAAGATGTTAACGTGTCCACGGAAATCACAATTACGTACAATTCAAACAAACTGGTAGAAGTAACTGCACAATTCGCACAAATGATTACTGAGGGCTAATTCCAGCGGAGTAACTCGCAGATATGACGTCATAAAGTTTATGCGCCATTATCATCACAATATCGCCGAAGGGGAAGGGGACGGGGACGGGGCGAATAAAGATACATCCGATGCGTATTAGGTACTTACGGCCCCGTCAACGGGGCCTAATTGATTTTTGTAAGAAGATTCTTTCAAGATTGGTTGCCTTGGATTGGCATAAAATTATATCGTTGTCTTGGAGGTATATGTAGACGACGCTGTAACAGCACGTGACACGTCAATCTAAGCACGGGGGCACTTTAAATAATTGTAATAGGTGCGATTATGTGACCAAAATTTATAGCTTGAAGTATTGTCAACTGTATGCGCTTCCATAATTTAAAGAAATATCTAAAGCGTGCTCACTTGAATAGTAAGTAGATCTCTCCACTGCTTCATATTCCGGTTTCAGCCTCACAATATTGTCCAGTGCTGAGCGATGCAGATTCGTGTGCGGCGCTCCTAATCTGCTTAGGGCGGGGCAACGACCGCACCAGCGTCACGGGCGGATTGTAGGGCGATTCAGATAACCGCAAATGCTGTCTGCTGTCCTCACCAGTCTATGGTTGGCAGCTGATTGATATCGCCACGTCGATTCGAACGGCAATTTGCGGCTCCATTGCATGAGCTTACCGCAATAATAATGTTATTATGACGGATTATTGGCATGTAATTTAATTGGCGCTTACATTGGTGTCGCCATTGATCTCTCTGATTTTAAAAAACTCTTATTACATTACATACATACGCGAAAAGGATGCTGTTATTTTAGGTTAAGCATTTTTTAGTGTTTTAAATAATAGATTTATGAATTAGATCTTGTAACAGTAGCACCACAGTGGCACTCAGAAATGACTGTAGCAACAGTGTTGAACATTTTGTAGTTTTACGCGGCAGACAAACGTCCATAAATCGCGCGCCTCACACGATTTCCATGTCGCATGAGCACGAGCTTGCGAGCACACGAATCGTACAATATAATGCCACTCGTCAGACAATAAACGCGAGGGTAGCGGTTCTCAAGCAGCTCCCTTGGCTTGTTAAGTTGTCTTCAAGTGTAATGAAAAATTCAAGTAAAATGCAAAAATCTTAATAGCTATGTAGAGCTCAACTAAGTAAATATGTTTTTATTAGATTTATTATTTTAATAATGGATGGCAAGTTCTATCAATTGCATTTGTATGTAAACGTACAGTATTAAATTCTTGAATTTAATTTAAAAAAATACAAAAATATGCCTGTTTTACATATTTCATTAATTTTAGACGTTTTCATAGATTTGTTACTAATTACATTAACTACTTTGTGTTGCTTTATTAAAATATAATCATGTGTTTAATTTAAAATTTTAAGTTATGACTAAGTAGCCCATTTGCTCTACAAGACAGAATGTTGGTTCTAATGTTGAGAAGCACTACCAACTACGAGTTTCGCGACCATAAAGAGTTGACATACACTCATTCGCGAGTCGCAACAGGTTCATTCATGGGATTGGGGAGAAAAGAAAACCGACGAGGGTGTGTAATAAAAAATATAAGGGCGGAATGCTGCCCGCCTGAGGATAAATAAACATGGGCCAAATTAAAGAGGGCCGTGTTCGTGACAGCGTTTGTGCGACTCCGAGTGTTTGTTAGAGCCACGCCCGTAGCGGATTATTGCTTCATTTGTTTTTTATCTAAACGATTTGGAGGCGCATGATCTGCTGACATATCATAGGCATGCATACATTAGACTAATGTTGGGAAACGCTCCGTTTTTGTATAAAAAATAAAAAACTGTGTTTCTGAAGCATTAAAAGTCTCACCAAAAAACTGAAAAACTATCCAACAAAAGAATTAAACTGGACGTCCAGAGGCTAATTTGAATTAATCATTGAGATGTGGTAGTGCACATTCAATATAAGTAAGTACTTCAAAAACCACTCAAAAGCATTTTAAGCCAAGCAAAAGCTCCTGACACTTGGAAACCCCAATGCTTTATTAACGACTTCGTGGAAGCTCAGTAGTTGTTCGTGACGTATTCCATAGAACCTTTTCGCTCGAGTCGTTATTCAATCCCACATTCTCGTACCTGAGTCCGGCGACCTCTCATTATTAAACCTTCGGACCGGACTCACTCGGGTAATTTGAAAATTGATGAACTTCATGCCCTCGGGAAAGGGTGCCGTATTACATATTTAAGCCAGGGGAAAACAGAAAAGTTGTATGTAAAAAACATATATTACATGGGGAATAAAGTTGGCTCGTAAACCAACTTGTTCATCTCTGGAATATATGACGGGAATTTGGGACAAATGATGTAGAGATAGGAGGCCCGCTTCTCTGTAATGTTTTTATGGTTTCGTACTTTACTCGTATAAGGAAAAATGGAACATCGTTAGATTACTTTCATGTTCGTCTGCGTACGATTATTTCTACATGGATATTAACAAATATATTTTTTTTCGCTTTATTCGGTATATTTAGTTTTTTCAGTTCCCTCTCTACTTCTGAGTAATAAAGTCCTCTTCACAAAAACTTGATGCGTTTTTGAGCTTTCATAAAAAATACAGTTGAACTCTTTTTTCCTTTAGAAAACCCAATAAACTCAAGGAGTGGGGTAACTGGCAGGTGTACCCACTGTGTCACACTTTATTGTGATTTGAGGTGGGCTGTAAAAATGTTTCATGCCTTGCCAAATTGCGACATTTGAACAATTTGTCGATTTTTGTACAACGCCGTCGATCCTCGAGTTTTTGATGTCGGTTTTTGACGACAGCGGTGAATTGAAAATTTAATGATCCAAGTCTTTCACGAAGTATCATAAATCAGTAAAAAATAGCTTATGAGTGAGTCAAGACTCCAGAACGTTTTGTTATGTTATACGAGCGGAAGCTAAATTTACGGGTATTTACTTAGATATAGTAAAAGAGTTTTAATAAATTTCAGTTTTTAAATAGCAGAGACTGTTAGATCTAGACGCTTGACACTTAAAAATATTTTATACATGATTAAAGAATTTAGTAGTACTTCCTTAAGCAATTTAAATAATTCATGGTCTTCGTAGATCAGCTGTCAGCTACCTAATAATAATCTAAATATCCCAAGTAAGGTTGTAGAAGATGTTGTCAGAAGTCGGTAAGTAGAAAGTCTGGTTTCAAAAGCATTCTTTGCAGTCCATAAGTTTCTACTCTGACGCTCGTATTTACAAACATTACTATGAGTTCTCACAGTGCGCGTGGACGCACAGGATGACACACGAACGAATCACAGAGCTCTATTCAACGCTGTGCGTTGGATTTGCTGCATCACTTAAGCAAGCATCGTTTGTGAATACGGGCGTGAGAAACCTTTTCGCTTTAAAGTCAAAGCTGATCGCAAACTCTGAAAGAATAAATACATATCAGAACAGAAGATACTTACTAGGGTCCTTGACTGACGTGATGACCAGTTTGAACCCGTTGGCGTCCGTGCCCCAGTTGTCGGTGACGTACTTGAGGGTCACGAAGTTGCTGCGCGTGAACAGCGCGCCCACCTGCTGCTTCGTGTTGCGGCACGACAGGTCGGCCTGCGGACAAGAACAGGGGAGTTAGACAGGTTGACCAGGGGACAAGGGCTAAGGCTCCGGCCGGATACTCGCGACACCCCCACTCGGGCGATGACGGAACGCCGCGGAGGTTTTAGTGGGTATACCCCGTCCTTTTCAGGACGGAGCAGCGCCCTTTTAAGGGCGCCGGGAGTCCCACACACCACCCTATCCCCCGGCAGTGGTGACGGTGCGCAAAGAATTTCCTCTGCGACAAAAAAAAGGGGACAAGGGCAGGGGAGTCAGTTAGACAGGTTGGCCAGGGGAGAAACGCAGAAGTTGATAAGACAGCTGGCTTGGAGACAAAGGCAGATGAGTTAATAAAGCAGAGCTACTGGGGAGGACAGTTAAAGAAGTTATAAATGCAAAATAAAATAAAAATAAACAAAAATAGAAAAAGTCCGGAGGTAGTAAGACAAGACATCCTGGAGACAAAGTCAGGGGAGTTAATAAAACAGGTTGGAAAGAGAACAGAGGCAAAAGTGGATGAGACGGGTTGGCTCGGGGACGAAGAAAGAGAAGATAATAGAACTGCAGAAAACACAAGTAAGATGGCCAGGCTCCAGGGATGTCGTTTGTATTTTTTAAACTCTGAGCTCACAAATGGCCAGTTATATGTATAACTAGGCGTTCGAGTCTAAATCCAAGTATAAAGAATTGTACGAATTAAAAATGTTTATGTATCTGCTGATCATCAACCATCAAGATGTTAAGGTATCTGTATCAAAACCTCAAGTGTTTCATTTCCTTGTAGGTATTTAAATAAGTGTACTCGTACCTATTAATAATTCAACTGAGTCATATCAACTAAACAAGCGATTCCAATTCAACACAAGTCGTTTCTTTAGTCCTTATTATCCTAGTGATCACAACTACCCCTAAGTCTCATCAACTATTTATCAACCATCTAAACAATTGATTATAAAACCCGATTGAAGATAATACATAAATCACGATTTCAATCTAAAACCAATCAACGAGAATTCAAATCAAAACGAATTCCAATATTTGAAGCTAGTAAAATGTAGAATTAAACGAGTAATCCCCGCGACTCGGAATGCCGATACTGATCGAAACCCATTTGGAGTGTAACTCAATTCGTTGTATCAGTGAATTGGTGCCGCTGCACCGCGCGCCATTACCGGAGCATCGCTCAAGTCTGCAAACAAGCGGCCGGCTGATCGCTCAGGCGCCGGCAATATTTCCCCCATCGACTCCGGCTTACTGAGCGATGCCCGCATTATTTCGCTGTCATATTTCAGCGAGAACGATCGCGGAGACGTGACGGCCCAGGATTTAGTGGGGATCCTGCGCCGCTATACATCACCCCCCACCCCTCCGCGATTCAAAGGCGTTACCGGACTTTTGTACAACGTCCCACTTTAATAAAGATCGGGCGCGGGTTGATATTAAAAATTCTTCTCTATAAAATTTCAGCTGGATTAAAGCGGGAATTAAGATGGGAAAGGGTTTTGTTATGCAAACTATTGTCTCGCCGTTGCTTTAACTTACGACGGGTAAAGAAATTCTCAATCTTTAATCACGCAGCGTTTCATGTATTTTTAAAGGCAGCTTTATATAGTGCCTATTTAATATGCGGCTTAAGGCGAGACAGAAGTACAGAAAATGCCAACCAAGCTGAGCAAAATGGCACTTTTTACAGCTATAAAGAAGCAGGAGCTTCTGGAGATTTTAATTAGGATTCAGTGCAAGCGAATGGAGCCATAAAAGAAGCTACTGTTATCTTAAATATCTTAGGAGCAAATTTTAACATCGATCACGTCCCGTTAATTAGTATGCCGGCGGCGTCGGTGTAATACTTCAATATAGCAGAAGCTATCGAGAAGAAATCTTATAAGATATCAGCGACGAGCGCCGCATTATTAACTGCGGAGCTCAATTTCGGTGCACTTAAGATTGTCTTGGAACTAACTTAGACGTTTAACGAAGAACTCGTAGTTGAGCAGACTAAAAAAGTGTTCTTTATTACTCTGCTGAGTTATACGACGTGAATAATATTTTTCTTCATAGTCATCTCAAGAAACAAAATCTCAAATTATTGCCATAATAGCCATTTCAGGCATAGTAGAATTTGATAAAAAATTGTGTAAGCAGCACAATTAGTAGTCGTAGTCATAGTAAAAGTATTCATTTAAACTAAAATAAATTCGGTATTTTACACCTCTTTACCGAAATTTTCTTGGTAAGTAATTGAAGTAAAAGCATGTGTCAACTGCGATAAAGTTTTCAACTACTTATACTGATACATCATATTAGAAGTTCGGATGTTCGTACTTTAACGATGCACTTGTCCGCTCAGCGCGTCAGCACATCGTCGCCGGGACAGCAGGTGCGCGTCGCGTGTGCAGTCAATTTAAGTTCGCGTCTGTTGCCGGAGTAGTTCCAGCATTGTTCGCTCTGAATTTAAACTAATCAATGTTTGCAGTTACGGCAACATCTGCTTTAATTGAATTTGTACGTGCATTACACTCCCGGACTCCAACTTTTACATTAAACTTGCATGAATGAATCATAAAAGCACCAAAATGTTCAAAATAACTAAGTAGTCTTAAAGAAAAAGCTTATAAGAGCTTTAGATAAATTGAAGAAATCCCATCAAGGTTTGAAACCGAACCATTTAACTTAAGCCGTATCGATTTCGATGTCCCTACCGAATTCAACAGGCTTTGCGAGCACTTCGCAACTTTCAGTAAGCTCATATTATATCCAATAAAACGTCAAAGTTCCTTCAAATTTAGAGTAACAATTACGAATTTCCATTCCAAATGGCTTCTGGCGAGTAACCAGCGGACATGGATGAGGCAAACTTTCGCGAAGTTGTGCCGTTGAGGCTCGGGACAATCCGAGTTGGAGCATATGCTAACTTAACGAATCGCCAAGTGCGTTTGGCACGACGCCTTCTTTTGTTGGAGTGGGGTACAATGGCATGCTGTGTAACATTGTGTTTGAATAAAATTATATTGTGGAAATCTTCATGCACAATGTAGAAATCTCGACTGTTATTAAAAATAATCAAGCTGTCGAGAAAAATATATTTTTGTGTACTGCACTGAGTAAAATAGATATTAAGATAAGCCCCTTACTTCTACTTAAAACAAATAATAATTTATTAAAAGATGAACCCCAATCGCTCGGAAATAATTAGAGAATGTCCTTCGCCGCGCATAATCACGGACAATGGAAGGCGTTACAGAAAATAAACGCCGGTCCGAAACTTACCGGGTTTACAATACACCGGCCCCCGAACTTTGAGAGGTCTTTGTTCAAAAGGTCGTATTGTCCGAAACTTCCTGAATTTGAATTTAAAATTTGAGAAGTTGTGTCCTCGTCTGCGTGTTAATTATTTGGAAGGTGGGGAACACCTGACGTCTGCCTATCGCCTCACCATTCTCACGGCAAATTACCTAGCTGAAACTTCAGAAGTGGCCGTACAATTTCTTATTTGACGAAGTTTATTTGTGATTGTAACTTTGAAGCAGGAGCGTATCCTAATTTAGATGCAATTATTTTCTTATTAAGCATGACATAATTACGGAACTTTTACATTATTTTGGATTGACACAAAGTTGAAATACAAAGCTGAAAAAGTTCTGAAGCTCCCAAAATTAGAGAAGGTAGGTAAGTTTACGAAACTTCTCGTCGTCTGTGATCGCCGACTTAATGGACGTAGTGGAAGCATTCCATCAGATCTCATTACCGTACACCGAAAGGCATCTTTAATAAATTAAAGCGGCACGGTGACTCGTGACTCGTGCGCCCCTGATCAGGAACAAATGAGAATAATAGGGAATCGCCGGGAATTGCAGGGATAATTGCTGCCAACGACGACTTGGAATGTCTCCAAATTAGATCCTATATTGATGATATGCTCGTTAACGATCATAGTTATATCATGCTACCGAATAAATATTTCTAGAGTTTTGTTTATTTGCACAACATACATTTTAACACTTGCCAAATACAGGTTAAAACCCCATTTGAAATTTTGTAATTTAATTAGAAAACCAAGAGCGATTTTTAAATCACTTTAATTTGATAGGCCACCTCTGAAGATTACTTTTTATTTTTTCATAGTTACTATGGTACTGACTTTTTCCCAGAATAAACAAAATCGGTGTTTTCTTTCAGGCGAGGTATTCTCCTTTAGACTTTTCTCGTGGAACTTTGTTTCTTTGAGACTATTTGAACCAGTTTAAGTAAGCAAATCTGTCTCTACATTGAAATCTGAAGTTGTCTTCCTTACCTTCGGCGGCGTGGTAGCGTGCGCGCCATCGTACACGTACAGATGGTCATTACAGTCCAGCTGCAGCAGGTCGAAGTGCAGCATGAACCGCTGCAGGATGCTGTGCGTCTGGAACGTCACCGTGCAGTCGAGGTTGCGCTCATTGCGGGACCACAGCACGCCGCCGTCCAGCTTGCGGTACTGCCGCTGGAGGAAGTGGTCCTTGCATAACGAGTCCATATAATCTGGAACAACGAGAAATATGGTCAAATATTTTCACAAGAATTCATTTAGTATATTAGAAAGATAAAATACAAATTGGGGTCAATTAACCAAAATAATATTGACTTGACTAGCACCACGTAATGCACAAGAATACACTTGGTTACTCTTTAATCTTATTTCTAAAGTCTTATTCTATTCTATTCTTTAGAATATTTTTTCTCCATGATTATAAACGGTCTGTCTGTCTCCTTAAGTTGTAGATTTTTTTAGAAAAAGGTGTTGCAAGTAAAGTGATCGTTGTTTTTCACCTCTTCACATCATGTCTAGTCACAGTGCTATCAGTGTCAAAGGACCTCTTTATTTAAAGGAGAATAGATTTTTAAGATAGTAGGTAGAAAGAGCACAATAAACCAACTTTAAGTGTAAAAAGGTGTAATATTAACACTGCGTAATATATTTTTTTTGGTCGATATCTTTTATTATTGTAGTGTGTAGAGTAGGTATTATTATACAGGGTGTNTACTGTACTTGATCATACAATATGCTTCAAAAGTAGAAGATTTAAACGTAGTTTTATTGAATTTTGTGTATTTATTATAATATTCATGTAAATGAAATACAATTGGAGCAAAACTTTAGGTAACAAGGAATGTACAAGACGTAAATATTTGTAGATGATAAGATACCAATTACATTTCGTCTATCCCTTATCAAATTCCCATACTCATGGAATTGCGAAAACGACTTTCACGTGGACGTAATGCTGAAGGGATTTAATATCTACGACCTACATTCTAAAACTCAATATCGGATAATCGTGAACTGTATCGATGCGATAAGCCGGTTGTATCAGTAATCTGGAGATGTCGCTATCAGAGCAGCATCTGTCGCGGCGGCGAGCGGAGCGCTGCAAGGATCAATACTAGCGCCTACGAGTAGCCATGTAAGTGGATTCAATTTTAATATACTTTTGTCTATGACTGTATTGAAATGTCGAAAAGATCTTCAATAAATATTAAAATATTGGAATGTCAAATTTGATTGGATGCACAAGCGGGAGTGTGTGCTATTTGACGTTCTTTGGAAGAGGCATATCTAGCAGTAGACCGCCATTCATCGTCAACTTTTATCTAGAATTCAAGACACTTTCATTGTATTTTTTCAGGGCCGGCTACGGCGCGGTGGCCATGCTGGCGGTCCTGTTCCTTGCCGGAGCCTGGTCAGCGCCGGTGCCACGCATCTCCGCTGTGGTCTCAGGAGTCACCACGGGCTTGGAAGTGCCCCAGGACCTCATCGCCGGCATCGGCGCGGGCACCGGAGCCCTACAGCTGGTCATCAACGTGCTCACCGACAGCAACGGCAACATCGAGATATTCACCAACTAGATGTGTGATGAAGTCAATAATACCCAAACCCCGAAAGAAGATAACGAAAATGAAATTGAAAATGATGGACAAAAAACAGATTTGAATGCATAAATATTCATAAACGTGACAGACAACAGAGGATTCGCACACAATGAAGGATAAAAAGAAAATACCAAAAGCCATTCAGAGAACACACGCGAACGTAAACGAAATAGAAAAGCAAAACCGTGTAGTTGGAAAAAGTGCAAATTCGATGACACATACATTATTTGGTAGGCAAATTGTTGAGATCAGACCCATGCTAATGTGACCTTTCTCGCTCCCACTCGAGGCGGCGCTCGCGAGCGAACACTATCTTATTGCGGCTCAGTTGTGAAGACAGATGTTATTTCTCGAGCGGTTGATGGCGTACTTGGCATCAGTTTAAATTCAACAAAATTCGGTTGAGCGACGAACGCTTCGGGTAAATGAGAGTGGGAACCGTTTCAAGTTCCACACACAAAGACAAATAGCTAACAAAACGGTGAACGATCCCAAATATTAAGTCAACAAGGGCTCGGGGCGCCGATGTAGGCTTTATCTCGCGTGAGGCTGATAAAACGGAATGCCGCGAGATACAGGCATCCTTATTGAGAACGTGACGAGGCCGCGGGGAACGGAAGTAATTTAATTCCGCTAATTCTTTCGGTTGTGTAAAAAAATGGCGGGAATATTAAACGACGTGAAAGCGATGAAATGACGTTTAGAATGCTGATCATACGAGTGCATACGTGACGAATGTACACCGAAAGTGCTGGAAAATATTGTTGGAAACACAAAATTCAACAGAAAAAATCACATCTAGGAGCTTTTCTGGATGTTCACTATTCTTTTAACGACTTTTCAGATTTTATGACGCTATCCCTCTTCTAGGATCAGGCTAGAAGTTGTTGAGATGGAAATGAGCGAGTGAGGGCTATAAAAACGTGATTCGAGAGATGATTTCATATAAGTTAGACTCGAGTATGGAGAGGACGCACATACTAGTCTAATTTATATCGAGACGTGATGGGTTTTTTTAAGTTTTTAATAAATTGTTAAGATTAAAATGTTTTGTGTTTAATTTTACTTTTAAATTCAATGTGTAAATATAGCAGACCAGTTTTTTTCGTTAAAAATTCACTTACAAATCCTCGAGAAGTATTCTTGACGTAGTAATTTTAGCTTTTAATTCTCCGTTTATCTTTACTATCATTACACCAAGTGAAGTAAGGAGTAACGATCGCAATGGCCGTCAGAAGGTCTTTGTCCAGCCATTGAGTCGTCTCCAGCCTTTATCGGGTCCTGTAGTCGCCCACAAAGCCTTCAGATCTGTCTCACGCAGGCTCGATGCCAGATAAATGTCTCTTGTAGGATAAAACTGTCGACGTCGATTTTCTTGGATTTGCAAGAATATCTTATATTAGCTATCGTCTATGGATCCTTTAACAGATTAAAGTTCTTTAATTATCCATTATTTACATTTGATAAAAATGATCTATTTGATTTCAGTGTCATTTATTGTCTAATTTTGTACCATGTCCAATACTTTCCGTCACACACAGACGTTCTTTACGGATTAAAAGTAGAATACGCTTAGGTATCGTGATACGCGAATACATGAATACAAAATATTTCCAAGAAAGACATCAGTAACATTTCGGGCAAAGAAAAACAGAGCAAAAACAGTTCATAATTTACATTTGCAATGCTTTTAAGTACTCTGCTCTTTCGGAGAGCACGATGCTCAATCAAAGGCCAGATTTAAACAGGCGCTCTCATATTCCCGGTGCCTGCCTTTCATCATTAGCAAAATTTCCGTCTTGAACGCCAGTGTTGCCCAAAATATAAGGAGAATAGTGAGAAAGCTGAAGTTTTAATCTTGTTTATTTTCAGTTTATTTTAAGACCAACATGATGAGAATTCCTTCGACGGTAGAGCTAGCTAGTTAAAAATCAGTCCCCACTTGTAAGCAAAGACATATTGCCCCATTTAAGTGTACGCCAAGATTTCATCAACCTCGCTGAAAGCAATTTAAAACGAGCAAAATAAACTTTAGAGAACTGAAACGTAATCTCGATCGTGTCCGTCAGAGGGCGCTGCGGGAAATGAGAAGAGTGGGAGGGCGACATCGCGTCTCTCTCTCGCGCCGGCTTAATTACCCGCCAACAGTTTACAGCACGATATTGCGGGCGGGCCACTAAACGAGCTGTGATCAATTTTCTGATACTTCAAATTGAAGCTAATCTTAAAGAATGCTTTCAATGTTAGTTTGAAATCTGATTATGATTTGATTTCAAAAGCGATTCAACAATGTAATGCCATAACTTAAGATCAAAACTTGAATATGCCAGCATAATACGAATTGTTAATTAAGGAAAGCCGTAATAGGCCAAGCAAGCATCGCATGGAAGTGAAACAATTAACAAAGAACTTCATTTCCACGTTGAAATACGAAACTAAACAAGCTGCGAGTGAATTCCACAAAGTTTGCTGCATTTCGACGAATACTCGTAGTGTTCGCGTAAATCCTAGTTTTGTATGACAACGAACATTATTACTCGATATACTCACTGAGCTGGAATGAAACTAGCAGTTTCAAGTCTCAATTAATTCGCTATCACTAGTTTCACTTTGAAATAGGATTAAATTCAGCTCTCGTAACGTTACACAATTAATTGGAAACTCAATTTAAAACTATAGTCTGGATTCGAAAGTGTGTTTTTCTAGTTGTCTTTGATGCTAGATTAAAATAAGCTAGATAATATTTATTTCACCAAAAGACTGCGGTCTGTCTGGACTAGTGGTTAACGAAACTATGTAGGTAAAGTCTGTGTGGTGAACACTTGCATTAGTTTATGTTTTCCATTCAGCATTACTTGCAAAGAAATAAATACGAGTAGCTGGGCTCAATTATTTATTATTAGATAAACATTATAAAGCAAAAATTGAAATAGTTCATAGCAAAACAATAGAACTCTAAAATATCATAGANGATTATCGCAAAACAATAGAACTCTAAAACATCATAGAAGCAATTTGCCATAAGTCAGCGCTGAATCCTCGGAAGCAGGCTACTTTATCTATTCCGGCGCAGACTAAAATATTACCAGCAGCTCTGATGCGAGATTTACCCGACTTGTTGAGATTGCGGAAAGCCGAGAATAAAACGGAACGGCTAGCTCGGCTATTCCAGGAATAGAAGTATTAACTGTCTGTGCTCCACATAAATAAATACAAGGAGCTCCGGCCGCCGTCCGGTTCCATCGGCGGGCAATGGAGCAATGAAATATTCATTGTAATAAACTCTGATTAGACGCTCGCTAAATTATTTGAATGTTGTGAATTTTAATGTTCTCGCCGGGAAGCATTTGCTCAAAATTATTACTGAAATTCTGCCTGCATTAATTTAAATGATTTAGTTGCAGGATACTTGATATCCTTTGATAATTAAGAAAACCTCTCCCCTTCTGCTTTATTAAATTAGATCAATTTTATGTGTAGCAATTCTAGCTAAAATGCTTTAACTCGATTTATCTCTTCGGAACACACGAAACAAAAAGCCTTCGGGAATCCAATAAAATCGCCATAACGGCACAAATGTTTGCAGTCATAGAAACAACACACGAGTGAGAACATACACTCGCAATAAAACTAACGTAAACAACAATAATAAAACAGATTCCGGAGCTGGGGAGAAGCGATCGCGTAATATGTAGTGCGCACTAGAGCCGTCAAGTGTCGGGTGACGAGTATTACATTCCGCGCGAGTGGCGCCGCCCTCGCCTGAATAGTGTACTACAGCTCACGCATTCTCCTCAGAAACGTGTTTAGGCGTGAAAATGTAAACACTTGTAATGACAAGTGAATAGTTTTCCGTAGGCGATATGTTTCGTCAATTCACGATTTTCTTCTTATTCGACTTTTCTTATTAAACTCTTTTCTTCTTGAAAAAATATTGTTGAATAAATCTGAAAATCTAATATAAATTCTTGATAACAATACGACATCAAAGTATTTACCTAACATACGGTGTTGTTGCTACATAATGGTCACATTTTTTTCTTCTTTCCATAACAATAACAATGCTTGTAGGTTACAAGCTACATAACAGCGACGCAGAGGAAATTGTACTATAAAGAAGTACTTTTAATCCTTTAGTATATTGCGCGAACGATATCAGCCCAAAAAGAATTTCTCAGAACTTATGATCGTCTGCCAACATTCCAGAGCCGTATCGTTACCGTTATATGAAATGAAACACCGCTTTGTTGGCAATTTGAGGGAATTTACACTNTAACAAAAAGCCTTCGGGAATCCAATAAAATTGCCATAACGGCACAAATGTTTGCAGTCATAGAAACAACACACGAGTGAGAACATACACTCGCAATAAAACTAACGTAAACAACAATAATAAAACAGATTCCGGAGCTGGGGAGAAGCGATCGCGTAATATGTAGTGCGCACTAGAGCCGTCAAGTGTCGGGTGACGAGTATTACATTCCGCGCGAGTGGCGCCGCCCTCGCCTGAATAGTGTACTACATCTCACGCATTCTCCTCAGAAACGTGTTTAGGCGTGAAAATGTAAACACTTGTAATGACAAGTGAATAGTCTTCCGTAGGCGATATGTTTTGTCAATTCACTTTTCTTATTAAACTTTTCTTGTTGAAAAAAGTCGGAAACGACAATAGTTTGTTCTAAATCTTATTTGATATAGGAACACGTCACTCTAAGTAAATTGCGATGTTATTGCTACTAAGGGATACCATTTTTTTTCCTTTAAAATGTTATTAGATTGTAAGCTAAATAACAATGACGCATAGGATATTGTACTATAAAGAAGTACTTTTAATCCTTTAGATATTCCGCGAACAATATCAGCCCAAAAAGAATTTCTCAGAACTTATGATCGTCTGCCAACATTCCAGAGCCGTATCGTTACCGTTATATGAAATGAAACACCGCTTTGTTGGCAATTTGAGGGAATTTACACTTGGAAATTGTTCCACCATTCCCGCCCGTTTAATAGCCGTACACTGTTCACTTAGTAGTTAATTATACAAACGTTGCCCACCGCGGCATTACACGGCCACGGCGTTTAAATTTCCCATATAATATCTTGGAAGGAAACTGTCTGGAACTCGATGATCGCCCGAGCAATTACGCGGTTTTAATGGCCGCACAGTGTCCTCGCTGAATGTTTAATGCGTGGAATCACTCTTTTAAATGTACTCAAGATTGTTAAATAGGGTCTGCTGTAAAAAGCTATTTGGATTCCTGTAGACAGTACGCCAGAGTTTGAGATTAAACTATTTTCATTTATTTTTGCTGATTAACAATCCGCCCAGCTTAGAACGGATTTATAAATTATGTAACAAAAACCTTTCTCGTGAATTAACATGTCTAACAGTGAAAACTATGTCAAAATCCCACAGTGAGATTAGTCTACAAAGACAGGATGATGGATAAACGTCAGGACACTTTAAAGTGATTAGCAATTTTATTAATTGCTGTTTTTAGGGCCATTACATGAAATTACATTCGTACAAAATCCCATTAGGTCCATGTAGTAGGATATTTTTGGGTCATTAAGTTTTAAATCAAACAGCAAATCAAAATGCTATAAAAGTATTATAAATTAAACATTATGAAAACTAATCAAAANTAGGTACGCCAGAGTTTGAGATAAACCTATTTTCATTTATATTTGCTGATTAACAATCCGCCCAGCTTAGAACTGATTTATAACTTATGTAACAAAAACCTTTCTCGTGAATTAGCATGTCTAACAGTGAAAACTATGTCTCAATCCACAGTGAGATTAGTCTACAAAGACAGGATGATCGATAAACGTCAGGACACTTTAAAGTGATTAGCTATTTTATTAATTGCTGTTTTTAGGGCCATTACATCAAATTACATTCGTACAAAATCCCATTAGGTCATGTAGTACTTACTCTACCTACATCCATATTTTTGGGTCATTATGTTTTAAATCAAACAGCAAATCGATATGCTATAAAAGTATTATAAATTAAACAATACGAAAGCTTTAATCAAAANAATTGATCGGATAGAGATATTTCGTTCGTTCGTTCGCTTCAGCCAAATGACGTCCACTGCTGGACAAAGGCCTCCCCTAAGGCTTTCCATAATTTAAAGAGGTATTTATTTACCATAATTAATTTTCCATTAAACACAGAATTTTAAAGCTTACATGATACATTTACTGTGTGTAAATGTATCATGTAGGCTTTAAAATTCTGTGTTTAACATAGATGTTAGCTGAAAATTAAACACTGAACTGGGATCACTATCTGATCTTCTTATTAGACGTTTCTCCGGAAATGAAATCTGAACGTTTTATTCATTCCTTTGTCACGTCAACGTTTAACGTTTTCATTGTGTCGGAGTGACTGACAGTGCTATTTTATTAGTTTTACATTCTGTTCGTTCTCCATACATTGTTCGCCTAAAGAACCAACAATTTTGACATATTACTACCCGAAAGCGAAATAATACGATTCTGTGTGTAAGAACAATGATTCCTGATGGACACTTGCCATAAAATTAATGATTAAGAATATTAAATCACAGCGATTTTATAATATGTCGTNAAGTGTCCATTAGAATGAAAGGGTGCTTAATGTATTAAAAAAAATAGAAAATAATTATGATGGGTTAATGTTTTTGGGCGGTTTTTTAGGCGGTTTCTGACAATGTCCTTTCATAATCACATATTTAATTTCCCGGCCTTGGAATACCAGAAAGAAAATGTTATTTTTTAAGAATACAGAAAAGCGGCATTGTCATAATTTGGCGAATTTTATGACAAATAATAACTTAGATAACAATATTGATTGATAAACTAATCGAAAATCGATATTATCTTTTATAGCAACTAATAATATTTATCTTTTATAAATTCATAATTATCATTTGCCTGAAACTCTCTGATCGAAATGGCAAGTCCCACGCCCTTTTAATGGCCCCAGTGTCCCCGGAATCCTTAATGCGTGGAATCACTCTTTTTAATGTACTCGGGACGATCTTGAATTCGTGAAAATGAAGATCTATAGAGCTTTCTGCTTATCCTTAAGTATGTTTTGGAGTTTTTGCTATTAGCATTTGACTTTGAGGGGAATTCTCTGTTCGGTTTTTTCTTTTTTCCCGTTGCTTAGGCAACGCCTGCGGCTGTGAGAGCGTGAAAAAACTTTCTGAGAATTTCAGTGACTAAGTAAATTATAAAAACTTGCACATCATTTTTAGGTCATGAAAATTATTTAAAACCATAGATTTTCCGAATGAGAGACCAATTCGACCTTTCGGAGACATTTTTGCAGTATCATTGAAAGGACTATTGCAACTTTATTTTGCGATAGTACTGCTAAAAGATCTAAAAAAATACATGAAGTAAAAATATACAAGTATTTTTTGTTTGTTTACAATTAATACAAGCAAATTATGACTCGCATGCCAATATCTACAAACCATAGCAAATTCGTATTTGATCGACGCCATCCACTATTAGTCTAATCCCGGCATTGTGTTTGTATCTCGGCCGGAAGCGGAAACAGCATAACAATGTCGCACTATCGTCCGGCTCGGCTCGCCGGACGGCCGGACGCGTCCGACTGGCCCGGAACACAGTCGGACGCTATTTCAATACTAAATTAACTAATTCCACTTGTTTAGTTTGTACTTAAATGGTCTGAAGCAATTCAATACTCTTTACCATAATATTAACCATGAGTTTTGGTTATATTAGCTGTCAACTTTGACTCGGTCTCAAAGTCAAGGTTAATTTTAAAATATTAGTAATTTAAAAATTACTTTGCACAAAATAAATCAAAAATACAAGCCAGTTCTGACCAGCGCAATGTGTCAGCTGACGCCAAAATTATCAGATAATGGTTAATACCCCCTGAGCCGTCAAATTATCAGAAGATCAAGGCAATATTATCTGATAATTATAATCGGCTTTCCTTTCACCTCCTGCGTTTTATCAGTTTATTTGCGCAAATAACAACAACTGTAGCGGTAAGTAGGTTTAGGTAATTCGGGTGATTTTTTTCATTTGCCCATGATTCCATTCTTGAAGCTCAAAACTGAAATCTGATTTCCCAAATATGTTTACTATAGTGCATTCGCGTTAAGAAAACAGTGATTTTCTAAGTTAAGCAACGTCTTTTGACCAATGAGGTCGTAGTAAAATTTAAATTAATATAGGTAAGGTTTGATTTTTACCACAGTTTACACAGCCGTTTCGCTAACGCGAATTAACTATAAATTGGAATATTAAAAGGTATCTTTACACTACAGATGCATTCATAAAATAGCTCTAGTTGGCACTGGCCCACTTTAATGTTAATGTAAAAATGTATAAAGTTACATACAACGATACGTTCCTTATCAAGGAGCATTATTTCATTCATTGTGTAATTTTCTACATTACCTGTTAGTCTTTTGTATTTTGCTTATCTATTTCTACAATTCTTCTTCCCGTTACAATGGAGTTCTGAAACTCCAAAGTATAATTCTTGGAGGCTTATTATTCAAACGGTTGCAGGTATTACAAAGTGGATTTTTATTTGTCCCCAAGATGGTCTCCATCGCGAAACTTCTCGGTCCGAAATTGAAAAGTTTTAACTCCTCGAAGATATTTACAGCCGTTTTTTATTAGTCGTTAAAACCGTAACAATGTTTCCGAGACACTTTTCAATTTGTCCGATTACAAAGTATTTTATATTGGTTATCGTAAAAATATGGAATCCGCGAACATTTTGTTGCTGTAGCCATCTGCGGCTCCAGACAAAAGTGCCGATAAATAATAAATAATAATAGGTAAAGATAAACGTCGCCGCGGCGCCGATTATTATGTTATTAATTACATACAGTCTATCCCTATCACTAGATAATTTAAAAAACTATACATACAATAGACAGCATATCAGACTTCACATACCTTTTTTTTTTTGCAAAATCGTGTTCGTTACTTCTACGTAAAATCCCACATTCAATTTGGGCTTGATAATAATATAATCAAAATCAAAAATATTTATTGAGTTTAGACCACAAGTGGCACTTATGAACGTCAAAATTTAAATATAAAAAAAAGAAAAGGTAGCCCTTATGGGACACTTTACATGTCTCCTTATCTTTTGGGCCCTACCAGCGCTTCGAGACAAACATATGGCAAGTGCTGAGAAGAAACGCCGGAACAAACTCAGTCACCACTTATTGCCAGGAATTATCTAAACTAACTCTACTCTAAACTAACTAATATTTATCATTCATCATCCGTCCATTATCATAATTTAGCTACAAAGCTGTGACACGCGTTTATGTTCCAAATTCTATGTTACATGTTTTTAAAGGTTAACCTGAGTAAAGAAATACAAACTAAATCTGATCCCCTTTCAACAAATGTGGGTTTCACTACTTTGTATCTATTTCACATTGAAGTAAAATCCGTACAAGTATTAAGCCCCGGGAGGCCGTTGTAAACCTGTTCCCTTTCCGGGAAATTCTGAGCCCGTGACCTTCGTCCGTCGGCTCCCGGCGGAAAATATTTGTGCTGGATACTTTTCCAGGATATTCTCTGGCTGATCAAAGGCCTCCGACGACGCGAGTGATATGACATGTAACTGGGACCTTTTTTGGGGAAGAGAGAAACATTTCTAATTAAGTTAATTAATTTGATGTGTTTTTGTTACACTTACAATTAAATCTTTTTTTGTTTTATCTTCAAAAGTCAGAGTATACTCTGAACAATACGTACTTAAAAAAACTAAAGTGAATTAATAATATTTTCTGACAAATATCATAGTAAATTGATGGCTCAACCACTGATAAATACCACCCATTCTAAACCGTTTAACTCGCACTCGAATCCAGCATTCAAATGGCAGAAAGGTGTTACTGGATCTATAAAATTGCAATAGCGACCGATGTGTTCGTTTATACTCAAACTCCGCTACTTTATGGCTAGGTAATATCATGTGATTTTTGTTAAAATAAATGTCTTTTACAGTGTTAATATTCAAAGACAAATAGCAAAGGTATGGTCACCAACTCATCCTCAGCAATAAGTCCCAGCGTCTTAGTGTAGGCGCACACCGTTGATTTTTCGTCGGCCGATAGTTTAGTCGGGCAGTTGATCAGTATGGGCATGTATGGGAGTGCGCAAACTACGCCGATTCGATTTGGCCGATTCTTCATACAAATTAAAATCGGGCACAACTATCGGCCAACTAAAAATCAACGGTGTGCGCTTACTCTTACACGGAACAAAATCCGGGCGCCCTCAAAAGCAGAGCCTTGTATTAGCGCGCGGTACCTTCGTACTTGAAACTTTTACACCGCAGCGTCTCCGCTTGATTCATCTTAGCCGGGGGGAGGGTATCGACCCGCGCGCCGCGGTCGTTCACCCCGCGTAGCTACGCCGTAGCAGGGCTGCTACGAGACGGTAAAGACTCTAACTTAGACGAAATGGGGCTTAGATGGACGAATGAAGTTAAAAGGTCTCATTGAAAATAATGAGTATTTACCTACTACATATTTATCAGAAATACATTAAAACTGATCATTTGATCAGAATTGAATTATCATTTGCTAATTATAGCAGTTTTAAGAGTTGATTAAGCATATTTCTAGATGTAATTGTTAAGATACTCAGGGCACCTGATGTCATGCCCTGAGTGTCCAAGCAACTGCACTCAGGAGGATTTGATGAGTGCTACTGACAACGCCACTCTTGTGGCGGAGTTTTGGGCTGACACTGTGTAGGTTTGTTGTCGACACGAAAAGAAGAAGAAGATTGTTAAGATAAGTAAACATTCGGTTCACATAGTATTGTAAATATTCTAAAAACGTAAGCAATATAATGCTTTTTTTATTATCTTTATTTATTGCCAAAAACCACTAAATTATAATATACACAAAGACATTACAAAAGATTATTTTTTTAAAACAGCAATTAAACTCGATTGTTATTAAGACATTCAAACGAACTTAAAGTTTGGCGCTACGACAGCCCTACGCCGTAGTCGCGTAGCGTGCCCGCCGTAGCGCGTAGCGCCCGTAGTCCCCGAAAACAACGAATTATATTTGGGCCGATATTGGCCTGTTTAGGCGCCTAATACGCCGATATCCCAAATTTATCCACAACTAAATTAGATCCTGCACATGTGTGAGTTTAAAGCGAACTCCGAATTGAACTCGAAAAACATTTTTGTCGTCAAATTCTGAATATAGTTGTTCAAGAGCGTTTTGTTAATAATATGAACTTTCTGAAATGCTCGTTTGCAAATATGAAATGCTTAAAGTTAATAGAAAATAATGTGGGAGCGAGCATAAAGCGGGATGGCTCCGTCGCTCGAAAAGAATGGAAGTATTTCATTTAGAGCGGTGTCATTATCATAATTCTGCTTGTTTATTTTTTCACGACTGAAGTCGAGGAGTTTAAATAAAAACTTACAGGTTTAACGGTTTTGTGCTTACTGTTCGCGTGTTGTATGCATAGTTTGCCGTAACCTTTAGTAAAAATTTCTAAAAGCTGTATTTTGACGATAATTTGTTGAGGAAATGAACTTTCTGACATCAATCTTTGATCATCATGGCCACAAAAAGTTAAAAAATGGGCACGTACATTTACAATTGCGTTCTTTAATTGATCAGTTCCATGGTATCCAAACATGGGGTTCACCAGTGCGGTGTCCTCGGCAAGGGCTAATGCCCCAATTTTAAAGCATTCATAATGTATGTGTAACGGAGCCGAAAAATGGCGATCGATATTCGACCCGAACTATTCGAATAGCTGGCATGTGTGTGTGTGTGTGGGCCCACGCGCACAGACGCGCCGCTTAATGGACTGGACGCGGCCCAAGAAAAGGACTATCTATTCTATAATAATAGCAGCATTTAGTAAAACTTATTATGGACACTATTTTAATACTAATTCACATCATATGGTTATATGTGTGTAGTATTTATACATAACTACAAACTGAAAATATTTTAGCTCGCTTCATAATGTGTGTATAATATTCCTTTACAATAAAAAAACAAAAATTCAAAATGTGAGGACTCTCAGGTCGGCTTATTAACTTTTTTCATCGAACAATGATGAATGCAAACAATGCCTGTACTGTAAGTCCCCAAATCTTTCGACTCAAACGGTTGCAAAATAAAGACGAAGCCTTTCATTAAACCAAAATGGACGACACCGTAAGACGTTGTCGTTAGAATACCGTTAAATCAAGTTATAGCGTATAACTAACGCTAGGATGGTATATGTAGAGTGCAGGTACTCCCAGAGACACTTCCCTCTTAACCAGAAGAGCCGAGATTAAATTAGGAAGCTAAAAGCTTCGGGGCCATAGCTAAGTTAACGGGCAGATTTTCAGTAGATAAGTTGCGGGCAGTTGGGTAATATTGAATTTAGAAAGCAATTAGGTTTCTTGCCGTAAAAATTATCTCCTACGAGCAGAGCTGTGTCAGTCCGCGTTTCCTAGACTGTAATATATCCAAAAACGTTGGTAAAGTATTTAATTTCTTTTCAAATAAGTACGTCAGCTGAAGTCTACTCCTTATCCCAGTTATATTTAAAAGACACTTAAGCTGCTATACCAGTTTATTAATATCAAACCCGTCTGGGTTACACAAAAATTAGTAAAAGATCCTGGCTCTTAGTGTAAAACTAAAAGCTGGGCAAAAATAATGAGAGAATCTCAAACACAACAAGAAACGTTTTCGGGCATGATATTAAATGAGCCAGTGACTACTTCTCTGGTACTGTAAATGTAGCTGTGCCAACTAGATATAGTGCTGTAGCCTCTTGTAATAATAGTTAATTTCTTTTGCGGAATTAAACTTCGAAGGTTCTTCATAATATGTACACATTCATACTTCTAACAGTTCTACTAACTCTCAGCCTCATACCTCATACAATAACGTCAATCCCTTTGCCCCCCAGCAACTGAGCAAGGACAGGTGGACAAGGACGCCCCAAAAGTCCCCGCCCTTGTTCCCGTGCCCGCAAGGCATCCCCGAAGGCTGTACAAAATGCTGCATTCCAGTCCCGGCATTCCGCAGCCGCCCGCGCTGCCGCAAAATCCCGCGTCCCGCGATTATTGCCGTCACGTTCGCGGGACGAACGCCCAGTTCCGATTATACGTGCGCCTAATTTCAGATACAAGATACGGTACACGCCTTTTATGATGCTGTAAGACGATTGGGGAGACAAAATGGTGCTGCGTGTGTTTTTTATGGATCGAGTCTATATTCTGTTTTACTTGCGTTTGTTTATTCAGTACACTTGTAGCTGTGCTTGTTGCTTATCTATAGATTAACGCCTGTATTCACAAATGAGTAAAGCAGCAAATCGAACGCACAGCGTTAAATAGAGCTCTGTGATTGGTTCGTTTGTCACCCTGTGCGTCCACGCGCACTGTGAGATCTCATAGTAATGTTTGTGAATACGGGCGAAAATCCAACACGCTTACAAGTTGAAATCAACTTTTATGCACATACGATACGAATAACTATTATTTTCATAAGTTATTCAAATTACCTATTTTGATATCTTATTCATAAATAGGTACCTATCTATGATAATGACTGAACATTTTGCAATAAACAAATGACTAACCTTATCGGAATAATGAAGTGATAGGGTGATAGGGGTTCATTAACAATATGAGATAGCGCTGATTGCTCACGTGATGAAAAATATTGAATATTTCTCACAAAATGTTCTTCAGTCTTAATCCCACATACATCATAACCTCGTAATAATGCTCACATACTGGTCATATAACATGCA